TGCTAAGAATTGTGTCCCTCTTCTGTGATGTTCTCCTCCTTTCCCAGGAGGAGCAGCATCAGGTTTGGGTCTGGTCACCCATGGAAGTGTATTCCCAGCAACATCCTCTTTGTTCTCTTCCTGTTGCTCTCCAGAAACTGCATGTTCTGACTGCAGTAAGAAGTTTGCTGAAGCCTTCTGTGTCACCGACTGTCTTTCTGCCAGCTGCCTCGAAGCTGATGCTAAACTGCTGGAGACCTCCAAGTCAGCTTCCCCATCTCTGTGCTGTGACACTGTCTCTGGAACTGCAAGCAGGTCAGTGTACCAAAGCTGGGTGGAGAGTGAAGCTGTAGCATGCAACACAGGCTTTGTCATCTCCTGGCTGGAGTTCACAGCAACCTCCTTAAAAGCAAAAAGGTGACAAAATATCGGATGAGAGTCTAAACAGCTTATGGGATTTAATTGGCTCTTTTTCCTGCTTGTCACTGGTTCAAAACCACTTCGTTGGGAATAACCAAGAACAATAGCTAATGGTCGTTTATTGACATTTGTGGAATGAGTTGGTGCATTCCACAGAGTTCCTTAATAGATGCAACCGTCAACCTTGCTTGCTGTCTCATCCCTGGCTAGAAGGAATAGATACTCTAAGTTGGTCCCATTGTTCAAAGTAGAAGCACAATGGTAGGGTAGAGCAGGAAGCTTACCCCATCAAGGTGCCAGTCTCCGCATATAGGACTTCAGTTGGTGGCGCTAGCTTCCAGCACCTCTCCCCAGTCCTGCAGTCACAGACACCTCCGCACACTGAATGACATGACACTTCACTAATGCCTGGATCATGCTGCCACCTCAACAGAAAGATGCCCATTCACTTTTGGGGGCTCTGGAGCAGGGGAGTTGCAGAAGAATTTAGTTTACATTCCTCTTTGCTTTTATTTGCATAAAAAGAAAGGGCCCCAGAGGATTGTAAAGTTCAATAAACCAAGCCTAGCCAAAAATCTGCCTGCTTTCCCACGCCACATTGTCAGCTGGAAAACTGCCACCTGTAAATGGTGCTGAACGCCCCATACAATGTGAATCAGTATTTTGTTAACTCTCTCTTTTCTCAGTTCCTTCTTCTTGTAGCAGTCACAGAACGAGACCCATGCAAGCCGTTAGCCTACACTTCACTACAGATCTTAATTAAGACTGGCTGCAAAGGCAATCTGAGGATTTTAGAGGTGCCCCTGAAAGAAATGAATTTGAGGCCTGCACTGAATTCTTATCTTCATATAGCACAGCTGGGGCCTGCTCCAGAACCAGTATAGTTAAAGACTAACAAGATGGTTTATTAGATGATGAGCTTTCGTGGGCCAGACCCACTTCCTCAGATCAAATAGTGGAAGAAAATAGTCACAACCATATATACCAAAGGATACAATTAAAAAAAATGAACACATATGAAAAGGACAAATCACATATGTGTTCATATGTGTTCATTTTTTTTAAATTGTATCCTTTGGTATATATGGTTGTGACTATTTTCTTCCACTATTTGATCTGAGGAAGTGGGTCTGGCCCACGAAAGCTCATCATCTATTACACCATCTTGTTAGTCTTTAAAGTGCTACATTGTCCTGCATTTTGCTTCAGCTACCCCAGACTAACACGGCTACATTTCTATCACTATAGTCTATGGGTATCATTTTACTGGCTTCATTGGATTTGCATCAGGCCCTTAGTAGCATCTATGCAACCTGAACAGCCCAGCAGGCTCTTTAGCACATCATCAATTACACCAGGAGAGCTCTGGGGCCTCTGATGTCATTAGTGCTTGTTTAAAAGGTTTGCTGGGTAGCCAGTCTGGCAGGAGGCCTGGTGAGCTGTGAGGCCAGGTAGGGGATAGGCAGCAATAGCTCATTCTGTGGGAGAGCTACCACTTAGGAAGGCGAACATGAGCGTAGAAATGTATAGAATTTCAATGAATAAACTGCAGAATCTAGACTAGCTAGCCAGCAGTGTCAGAACAGCATAGATGCTGAGAACAGCAATCCCAGTCCGTTTCCCCAAATGCAAAAAGGGTTATCTACCTGGAAAATACTATGGGATGCAGGGACTCCAACTAACTATTAACTACTATAATTAACTAACATGAGAGCGTATCTTTTTCTGCAGATTCCTACCTCTATTATTTCACCCTTCGTTTCTCTCCTTCCATTTTGGATTGTGGCCTTTTCTTTCTGATTTGTAAAATTATTTTCTCTTATGTTCTCAGTCTGCCTTTTCTTTCATTTTTTTTCCTCCTTTCCTTTCCTCTCTTCCCTTTGCCCTAGTGTTCCACATTGTGTTGCCTTTGACTCCGCTGCACCTGTTCTTCCAGTAGCTCACAGCTCTCTCTAGCATCTTTCCTGGATTCTCCTAAATAGTTCTCATTTGTTTTCTCCCTTGACTCTCTGGGTCCCCATGTTTCTCTCTCTTTATGGCATCCTCCCACCTCCTTAGACTTTGGTCTTCATTGTCTCGTGTTGCTCCCATTCACTGTATTCTGCACAGGACTCCTCTCACATAGCTCTCTATTCCCCTCGCCCACCTCTTGAATCTGCTCTCTCTATCCAGCTCCTGCCCTAGTTCCCATCCAGGTTTGCAGTCCGGCTCTCCTCATCAGGCTTCTATTTCCCTGCAGTTCTTCTTTCTCCTCTTTCTCCCAATCATCTCTCCCCTTCCTAGTTAATCTCCAGCTTGCCCCCTACCAAGCCATTGTTCCAGTCACCTCTCCCCCCGCCCCATTGATCTCTTTAGGCCTTCATTTTCCCAGTTCATACTTCTCCAAGTCTGTCAGTTCATTCCTACAGCCCCTGCTGCTTCTCCCCCATGGATCCAGTTGCCTCAGTTTAGACCCTGCCTTCACCTGTACCCCCACCCCCATTCATACAGGACTCCTCATGTTCATCCACTGCCTATAACTCCTAGCTTATCCAAACCCCCAATACAGACCCTCTCTCCAATCCCAAACCCTTCTCCAACCCAACACCCCCCCACACACACACACTCTCTCTTCTCCCCCCCCCCTTTATTCTCAGTGTTTCTCCCCAAATCCTACCATCTCTGAAACACAAGGGAGAGGAGGAAACATGCTGCTATTTGGATGGTGTGGGGCAAATGCTGTACCTAAAATCAGCCCTTCTCCCTGCTGCTTGCTGGCTGCCTCCCCTAAACCACAGCCCCACCAGGGATGACAGCAGGAAGTGGCAGGCACAAAACAAAGGAAATGCTGCATCAGGCAGCAGCAGCATTGCATTCCCCCCCAGCTTCTAAAGGAGAATGCTGGGCCTGCCCCAAAGGAACAAGTTGAAGCTGGGAGGTCTAAAGTGACCCCAGCTGTCTGGTAAATGCAGATATTCAGATACCCAGATACACAATGTGTTTCTTGAGCAACTATACTCCACAAGAACCTCTTACACCTATTACTACCTTGGAGTCCTAGATGTGAACCTACAGGAAATGGTGTTGTCTGAAATCAGTGCTTCTTGCGAAATTGTTCTGCTGCTCCCGTTCGGGCAAAAGTTCTTGCGCAAAACCGCGTCTAGATTGGCATGGACGCTTTTCCGCAAAAAGTGCTTTTGCGCAAAAGCGTCCATGACAATCTAGACACTCTTTTCCGCAAATGCTTTTAACAGAAAAATTTTCTGTTAAAAGCATTTGCAGAAAATCATGCCAGTCTAGATGTAGCCAATGGGTTAAAATCCAGTTTCACCTACAGTGCTTTTACAGTAGAGCAAATGCTTTGACTTCAACAGAGTTGATCCTATTTTACACCAACGTATGCAATAACTGAATTTGCCCCATTTCCTGGGTCTCTATAACTCATGCAGGCATAAGAGGATTTCAGGGTGTTTACTGCCCTATAAGAGGTACAGCTCAGAACAGCAACTAATGCAACCAGATACTGAAGGAGAGAGAGAGAGAGAATGACCTGAAATGCTTCAATGCAAAGTACCCCAGCTAAAAAACAGATGCGGGGGAATAATTGGCTAAACAAAGCCAAGCTATGCTTGTCTGTTCAGTAGTGCTACATTCCCATGTAGAAGTGCCTATTTAGCTTACTGTATTTCCTGATATATTTATGTGAGCACATAATATATAATGATTTATTTTTATTTCAGAGTTCAAAGGAATAGTAAATTGCTGTACATGTGCTATATGTTATGTGGCTTAATGAGCTGGACCATGCATGTGTTTTGAAGTAATTATTTACAGTGGGAGGAAACTAGAAAGGGTTTCAGGCTAAGCAGGAAAACACATCAGTAAACCCATCCATTTCTGTAAGAAAAGATCACAGAGAAGTGATGTGTAGTGAAGACACAAGTAATGCTCAGTGGTAAAATAGCTAAGCAGATTCAGTTCTGAATTTTTCCCATGTTGGGGGCATGCTTGGTTGTGGGGCTTTGGTACAAGCTTGCGTCTTTCTTTCATTTATATATTTATATAGTAGAATTTCTCGCCAAAAGAAAAAAACTGCATGAGACTCAGAACAGACAATATTAAGTGCTAGATGCTGACAGGTTTAATACTGTATCTACCAGCATTTCAGGGCTAGAAACAGGAGACTCCCAGATGCCCGGTGGCAATCTATGCAGGCTTCTAACCCAAAAATATCTCACATTTTTGCACTTTAAAATCGTGTCATTTCTATGCATCAGAAAAGGGTTTTTTTCATTTTACAGTTGAACGCATAGTCATAAAGGCTCTATTGATAGTGAGACACAAAAATCAGTCCCCATGAAAACATTCAAAACTTTAACAGTGTTAAAATAGCTTTAGTAACAGATGTGGCATATAGAGAACACATGTTGCTGTTAAGATGCAAAAGATTTTATTGTCGTCTACTCCTAAAACTTCCACCTGCTTCCAATCATTTTACTTTGGGGCAGATGTAGGCCCAGTTTGATACGAGTAATTGGACATGGCTGAGGCCTCATTTTTTGGGAGATGGGATTAGGGAGGTAAAGGGGTCAGCAGACTGGAAACAAAACATCTATACCAGCTAAAATAAGGGAAAATGCCCAGGGAACTGCTTACAAAGGATCAGATAAATCTAGAACATAAGATGAGGTAAAGAGTAAGTCAGAGCATGGGCAGAGCATGCTATACAGGGATTGGTTCCTACAAAGAAACAATGCAAGTCCCAAATCGTGATGTAATGTAATGTGTAAGTGCACATAAAGGAATCGGGTTTCTGTGTAACTTTGGACATGGGGCATACCCTGTACCCAACCCCTAGACTGATCAACTCAAATGTAATTTGATTATATGCTGATAAAAGAAGGTGAAACACAAGACTGATAACTAACTGAAGTACAGATTGGAGTTCTTAGGGAACTGAAGAGGCCTCAGGGAAACCCCAACAATAGAAAACAGAACAAACATCCCACACAGTTCTTACCTGAATATCTTCCTTACATGTCAAACACAGCTGTGATGTGGAAGTGCTTAAGATGGCTGGTAGCCTAAAATATTGGAAAAAGAAAGATAGGTTTAATATATTTTGTGTATCTATACTAATTGCAATGAAAAAAAATCCAGTCTGTACTTTATTAAAAATGTTACGTACTAGAATAGCCCATGAGATACACATTCATTATGCTGAGAGGCACCCATGCGGACAGCAGTAATGCAATCCAACTCAAATGCACTACTGATAAGATAATGCAGAACATTCAAGGCCGAATTTATCAATCCCCTCTCCCCATAATATTGGACCCAATCCTGCCCAAATCCCATTGAATACAAACTTCTGCAATCAACTATGTTCAGTTCTCCTTTTCCTTCTCCCGAACGATGGAAGGATAGCCCTGCTAAATTCACCATTTCCTTGATTATGTTTTTTAGAAAAATATAGCTATTACTTGATTGATTTTGATTACATCTTTAGAATGTAAGTCTAAACACTCTTCAGTCTAGTCTGTCCATCTCCATATTTGTATTGTACTATTACTAGTGTTTGTGTACCTTCTCCTCAGTTCTATTTCAATACAGGTTGAACCTCTCTAATCCGGCACCCTTGGCACCTGACCATTTACGAACGAGAGAATTTTCCGGTGAGGGGAGGTCAATATTGTCTAGCAGCATCACCAACATGTCAACTGCTTACTAGGCTGCTAGAGGACATTTAGGGATAAATTAAAGCGAAACAACAGCACAGAACACTGAGAGCTATGACTGGTGGCTGTAAACAAACTTCATGGGACTGTGGAAACCTTGGCCACACCCATGAAAAGTGGACATCCAGCTAACTAAAATCATTCCAGTTGACATGTTTCCGGACCAAAAAGTTCTGGACTAGAGAGGTTCAACCTGTAGTGTCCCATTGTCGTAATTTTACATCACACCCACCCTAAAAGGGGCTGAGTAATTTTCAAAATCTCAGCATCCAAACACCCATTAATTTACTCCTTCCGTAACTTTTGGAGAAATGTTGTATTCATATTCAATACATTATATCCACTCTTCACACAGTACCCATCATGCGTGCTGGGGCTGGAGGTATAATCTGGTAAAATGAAACTTCGCAAGATGTTCACCACGTCCAGCTCTTGAAACTCAAGTGATGGCTCCAGCCTTTGATCATGGTAGGAGCTGCTTCTTTTGGCTTGTCCTCCTCCATGTCTGCTGCTGACCCTCAAGGCTACTGAGTCCACAGAGGTCTCAGATTGTTGCTTTCCATTATCAAGTTGCTCTGGGTCTTGTCTGCTTCCAGAAACAGGGTCCAATATATGTGTCACTGCAATTCTAGTCGGCCTGGTAGGCATAACTTCTGCAGGCTGAGTAAAATCAGTAACACTGTTGGGTGAAGTGGAACCTTAAGAAATACAAAAAGAGGACAAGTGTACTTTCCACTGTAGTGTATGTTTCAAACCCTGTTTTGTAATGAAATTAATACGTTATCTGTATTCGGATACTACTAATAACTTTGATTTCTGTAGCACAAAGCTAAAGTAGAAATCTAGGCATCCCATGGAAACTGGAAGGTAAACCAATAAAAGCCCTCCCCAAATTAAGTTTGGATAAAATAATTAAATTAATGTCACAGTGCCATGCTGAATATTTTCAGAAACAAGGCTCCTTTTTTAAAAGTCTATATTCATGGTTTGTTCCATCTTCTGAGGAAGGTATTTCAGTCACCTGAGGCTGCTAAAGCAATGATAAAATAGTGACCTATTCTACCTAGACATACATTTACTTTGAAAAAAGACCAACTCACTCCAAACTGAGAGAAGCGATATATGACTTGCCTTTTGTCCAATATACACAGCTGAGGCATGTGAACACTGACAATAAATATAGGATTCTCCCTTATTTAAACAATAATGCCATGCCCAAACATTCAAAAAACACGAGTCAAGCCTCCAAAATCATGAGACTGGCTTAAAATTTTGAGATAAAGTACATTTTGGATACTTTTTTTTTCATTTGAGTATATAACATGCACTCGGGTCATGTTTGTTGCTGTTCTTTGCAGCTGTAAGGGCTAGAAATTGTTTTTGTTTGCATGAGAAACTCAGCTTTTATCTAATCATGTGTGTCTAGAGTAAAACACCAACTATAGAAGCACTCATGATAAAATCTTACGGTTTAAACTGTATATCACTGCCCTCATTCACACTAAAGCACTGAATGGTGAGGAGTGCCCCCACTTCAAGACTCTCCTCATAGGTTCAGGCCCCAGTAACTAATGTTAAGTGAACCCTGAGGTTATCTTGTCACCTGTATTAGCAGGATGACATAATATGCCAGAAAAATATTCTACTGGAACTAAGCTGTCAGTAAAATAACACGTACCTTTGCTTGCTGTAACTGTTTCTTTTAGAACAGTAGGTTTCTGCAATGGTGTTGGTATTATAATGCTGGACTTCTTGCTATTACCTGCAGGTGTTCTGTTTTGGATTGGCTGGGACACAATAGCAGATTCTATCCTTACCCAGTAAACAAAATATGACTGGACTACCGATAAACTGTTAAAAATAATGTTATGCAAGAATTTAGTCACCTTATGCATTACTAAAGCATCATAACATTTAGCTAATCAAACAGATTTAAAAACACACAACTAAAAACAACCAGTGCAAAAATATTAATAGATTAGCCCACCGTGTACACTATTAATGTTAAAAACAAATCACACTAGATACTCTAGAGAAAATGCTATGTAAAGGTTCACTTATCATTAGGGCTGGTGAAAAAATGAAGGCGAAAATAAAACATTAATTTCAAATTTTAACAAAAGTAAATTTGGGAAACTGACTAGCTCTGCTTCCATTGGCCAGGAGGCAAGTGGGATTCACTGATTAAAAAGACTCATCTATTTAATTTTTATAACAATGGTATTATTACAGGGTTGGTAGCACTGCCTATAACTGAGACTTCCGGAAACTCTCTCTTAAAAAAGCTCCTCTATTCAGTTGCTTAGAATACTGCCAGATTTTAATCATTCAGGCTAAAATTTTCCATGATGTGTTTCTGCCAGAGGAGGGCAAAGGCAAGCCTGGGGATGGGGAAGAAAGGTCTGTAACTATTAAACGCCACTTTCCCACAGTTGTGAGTTTCTATGGGTGTGGGTACACAGCAATTAAACACCAGTGGCAGTCCCGGGTCATTTGCCATTTGCTAATTCTGGAGTGTTTCACTTCGCAACCGTAACATTCTTTTAAAGACTGTATTTCTAGATGCAATATGTATTAATGTAACCGATAACGTATATTGAGCCTAAACCTAGCTATATTATCTTAGCTTAGATATCTGGTTCTCTCTCCATTACTATTTGATGCAGCACAATAATCATTCTGTGAACAGTTGTGTTTATGGTTAACCTTTTACAGGAGGGAAATCAGATACAGGGCTACTGATTCTCAAAGTGTTTAAGCTGTCAGTTTTCATCTGCAAATTTGTTTTAGTAGAAGGCTGACCATGTAAATACAAAGGAGCAGATCCTCAGCTGCTGTAAACTGCCATTGAAGACAATAAATCTATGACAATTTACAGCAGCTGAGAAATTACTCCAAGATTACATGAATTTCAAGCAATATCACACCACTACCCTGCCGCTTCCCTCATTTAACATGGCAAACAAACTATAAGGACAGCAAGGAACTCCTTTCCCTAGATATTAACTAGAGTTAGGAATCATATATACTTACAAAAACTTGATGTCTCCAATGGGCTGGGCAGGTGCCTTCCACACAAATGACAGATTTCTCTTCAGTGACTTGTCAGAATGGGTTACAGTATCGCCATCTTCAAAACAAGTCAGCAGTTTGGAACCCAGAGGAATGAAAACAAAAGTGCCAGCAACTTGATCATTAGATACTCTGCGAGCTTGAAGCAAAAAGCCCATGAAATCACGAGTGCTCCTCACTGTCACTGCAAAACAAACCATTGTACAAAAAACAATTTGTCCAAGTCATCCACTTGCATTTCTGACATGAATCATTTGCAATAGAAGTTTCATTGAAATTGGTGAACTGAGGAGGAATCTGTAGGGAACCAAGTTTGCCACTTTGCTTCTCTCTCTCTCTTAGGCTATGTCTAGACTGCAAGCCTCTTTCGAAAGAGAGCGTCTAGACTGCACGCGGAACTTTCGAAAAAGCGGCTTGCTTTTTCGAAAGAAAGCACCCAGTGAGTCTGGATGCTCTCTTTCGAAGAAGCCCTATTTACATTCAAGAACGCCTTCTTTCAAAAGAGGAACTTTCGAAAGAAGGCGTTCTTCCTCGTGCAATGAGGTTTACCGCCGTCGAAAGAAAAGCCGCGTTCTTTTGATTTAATTTCGAAAGAACACGGCTGCAGTCTAGACGCAGGTGAAGTTTTTTCGAAAAAAGGCTACTTTTTTCAAAAAAAACCCTGAGTCTGGACACAGCCTTAGGTATTCTGAAAATATCAGAACATTCTTTAATGTTTACTATTTCCGTATGAAAGTTATGTGGAAATTTTACCTGAGTCTTTTTTTAAATTATAAACTACTAATCAATTTATACTAGAACAAAGAGAGCTATCTATGCACTATTAATGTATGTATACACACCATATTGATTGATTTTGCAAAAAGAAATAAATAAAAAAAATCCAGTATAAGAGTATAAGGTAAAAGAAGCAGTGACAGTTAAAAAGATACCTTTTAAAAAATGGAAGTTAAATCCTAGTGAGGAAAATAGGAGCATAAACTTTGTCAAATTAAGTGTAAAAATATAATAAGAAAAGCCAAAAAGGAGCTTGAAGAACAGCTAGCCAAAAACTCAAAAAGTAATAGTAAAATGTTTTTTAAGTACATCAGAAGCAGGAAGCTGGCTAACCAACCAGTGAGGCCCGTGGACAATCGAGATGCTAAAGGAGCACTCAAAGATGATAAAGTCATAGTGGAGAAGCTAAATGAATTCTTTGCTTTGGTCTTCACAGCTGAGGATATTGTGGAGATTCCCAAACCTGAGCTATTCTTTTTACGTGACAAATCTGAGGAATTGTCCCAGATTGAGGTGTCTTTAGAGGAGATTTTGGAACAAATTGATAAACTTAATGGTAACAAGTCACCAGGACTAGATGACATTCACCCAAGAGTTCTGAAAGAACTCAAATGGGAAATTGTGGAACGATTAATTGTGCTTTGTAATCTATCCTTTAAATTGGCTTCCGTACCTAATGATTGGAAGAAAGCTAATATGACACCAATATTTGAAACGGGCTCTAGAAGTGATCCTGGCAATTACAGACCAGTAAGTCTAACATCAGTACCAGGCAAATTAGTTGAAACTATAGTAAAGAATAAAATTGTCATACACATGGATGAATATAATTTGTCAGGGGAAAGTAAACATGATTTCTGTAAAGGGAAACCATGCCTTACTAATCTGCTAGAGTTCTTTGAGGGGGTCAACAAACATGTGGACAAGGGGGATCCAGTGGATATAGTATACTTAGAGTTCCAGAAAGCGTTTGACAAGGTCCCTCACCAAAGGCTCTTAAGTAAAGTAAGTTGTCATGGGATAAGAGGGGAAGTCCTTTCCTGAACTGATAACTGATTAAAAGACAGTAAACAAAAGGTAGGAATAAATGGTAAGTTTTCCGAGTGGCGAGAGGTAACTAGTGGGGTCCCAAATCCGCATTTCATTTGCAATTTCGCTCAGCTGCATTTGCATTCCTCTCTTGAAAGAGGAATGCAGTGTAGACATACCCTAACAAAATGGCAAATGAAATGTAATGTTGATAAATGTAAAGTAATGTACATTGGAAAACATAATCCCAACTATATATACAATATGATGGGGACTAATTTGGCTACAGCTACTCAAGAAAAAAATCTTGGAGTCATTGCGGATAGTTCTCTGAAAACGTCCATTCAGTGTTCTGCAGCAGTCAAAAAAGCAAATAGAATGTTAGGAGTCATTAAAAAGGGAATAAAGAATAAGACAGCAAATATCTTATTGCCTCTATATAAAACCATGGTATGCCCACATCTTGAATACTGAGTACAGATGTGGTCGCCTCATCTCAAAAAAGATATATTGGCATTGGAAAAGATTCAGAAAAGGGCAACAAAATGATTAGGGGTTTGGAACGGGTCCCATATGAAGAGAGATTAAAAAGACTTGGGCTTTTCATCTTAGAAAAGAGGAGACTAAGGGGGGATATGATAGAGGTCTATAAAATCATGACAGGTATGGAAAAAGTGATTAAGTAAGTTATTTACTTATTCCCACAATAAAAGAACTAGGGGTCACCAAATGAAATTAATAGGCATCAGGTTTAAAACATGCATAAGGAAGTTTTTCTTCACTTAGCGCACAGTCAACCTGTGGAACTCCTTGTCAGAGGATATGATGAAGGCTAACACTTTAACAGGGTTCAAAAAAGAGCTAGATAGATTCATGGAGGTTAGGTCCATCAATGGCTATTAGCCAGGATGGGTAGGGATGGTGTCCCTAGCCTCTGTTTGTCTATAAATAAGTGACAGGGGAGAGATCATGTGAGGATTACCTTTTATGTTCCCTCCCTCTTGGGTATGTGGTATTGGCCACTGTTGGCAGATGGGATACTGGGGTAGATGGCCCTTTCGTCAGACCCAGTATAGCCTTTCTTATGTTCTTAAGAATTAAACTGTCTTGTTACTCAAAGGAGTGTGGGGTCCATTTCTGTTTAAGAACTGATCTTTTGAATAGGAATGAGTATGTGGGTGGGTAGGCAGGATGGTGAATACATTTACAGGTCAGATTCTTCTTCATTTGCCATTTTAAATACTTAGGGTGCTTTTATAATTCTCTGTGTGAGACTCTCCCATTGGCTCTATGGTCCTGACTGACTTCAGTGTGGGTTGCCATGGGCTCAGCATCTGCTACCTGGTGAAAATCTGAAGACGACTCTATTGAAATGTACAGTTTCATTCTCTGAATTTACCTAGGTATCACTGATTGCAGAATATAATCCTTTCAGGCTTGATGGACGATGAGAAAAAAAGAATGCGTATTTTATATACATACCGTAAATGAAGGTTGCTGTCTGTAATTACATGTATTCCGTATGAGGAGAGAGGCTATAACTCATTCATGGCATTTCCAGGCGTAGATTCTCTCTCTTTTCATCACTCAAAGACAAACGTCTTACCTGAGATTAGCTATCATATATATATTATATATGTGAGTTTCCTCTTAAATAATTACTCCTTATGAGTCAATAATGTAGACTAGAAAACTTCCCTGCTAGTATACAGTATTCAGAATCCTGTTGCCATGATTTGCATTTCTGGCCTTGACCTACAACAGGGGAGAACTACTAGAAGCACCATTCCTTATCAGAAGAGGAGCCAGGAGGGCCATTTGGCCCCGGGCCTCAGGAGAGAAAGGGGCCTCAAAGTTTGACATTTTTCTACCAAGACATTTCCATTTATTATACACCTTGCAGTTATAACGGAAACAACAAAAGAAGCTATATATACACCCGCAAAAAAAGATTTAAACCATCGTGGGACTTTGGCCCTTCGCCAAATTTTCAGTCACATCTGAGTTTTCATCTGCATGACTAGAGTAGCTTCTGTGGTTAGTGATTCTATGTTATGAAATGCTGTTTACAGTCTTTGCACAGTTTAGAGGTTTTGAAAGTCATAATTAATTCTGTTACTGGGAAGTGATTTTTCTTGGTCTGCGGGTGAGTTTAACCTTTAAATTAGATGTTTATCTCTGCATGGGAGATTTTCATATTCCTGTTTTTTCTTATGTGTCTTCATAGACAATAATATATCTGGCTCAGCTGTAATCTACCTCTTTATTTAGTTTTAGATTCACCTTTAAAAGCTTTTTTGTGATAATAAACTATTAATTCTACTTGTTTAATAAACTTTATAGCTAATCTGGCAACCGCCCTGTGTTCATATTTATAATAACGCACCAGTTATTAGAGGAATTTAATGACAGGAACATGTTAGCAGACAAAATTTCAAGACTTTGAAATAAGGCTATAAGGGCTATAGTAAATAACATCTCCAAACCATTATTATATAATATTAATTGAAAAGTATTTACAATTAAAATTTTGTATAACCAATAGCCTTTAGCGAATGAATTTATTGTGTGTTGCTGTGTTTTAAAAGAATTTCTTTATAAACATGAAGCCAAGATTTGAAAGTGGTGCAAGTAAGAGCCGGTGAAAGCAATAGAGTGAAGCAACAGTTAAGAGTTTAAAACCAATAATATCATCTCATAGAAAAGATGCCTCAGCCATTAGAATATGACCATACTGACAGTGACACTTCCAGTTCTGATGATGAAAACGTTGTACCCAAAAATGACATTTCAATGCCACTGCCTCAATATGAGGAGGTCATTAATCAAGATACAGAAATGCCAACAGTAGCAATAGATGAAGAATCTATGCTCGATTTAGAGACTGTGCAGGCAGAAAATCAGGACCTCGGAGATGCTGCGCAGCAAGAGCAAGAACTTATGACTAGTACAGGACACAGTGGCATCAGAACCTGATATTGGACTTCTCGATAAGAACAATGTTGCTCAAATGCAGTAGTTTCTCAAAGTTAGTTGTTTTCAGATTCCAAGTACTATACCGAAAGATGATGAAAATCATGCTTTACGATGTACCCTGGTTCTTTTTTAATAGTAATACTTCAAATGCATTAGTACTGTCTGATTCATCTCGTTGGAGCATCACTAGAGGTTGGAGGAAGTTTAAAGATCAAACACCTGCACATGAAACTTCAGTATCACAGAAAGATAATGTTACATGGAAATCAGCTAGCAGAACAGCACTAGCTGACAGTTCAATTGAAAACTTACTCCCAAGTGAAAAATACAGAAACTGATATCTGGAAGAAGAAAAAAAACCTCTTTGAGTGCATATGGAAAGTAATTATTTTTCTTTCTGAATGAGGACTGGCTTTGTTTGGTTCCAGTCAATGTATCAGTGAACCTACAAACAGAAACTTTCTTGGTATTCTTGAGCTTCTTAGCAAGTATGACCCACTTTTATCAGGCCATGCTAAGCGTGTTCATGAATGCAAGTCCATTATCTGTCTACCAGAATACAAAACAAATTTATTGGGCTGTGTGGGACATTTGTGCAAACAACAGTTCTTGAAGAGATACAACATGTGAAGTACTTCTCAATTATTATTGATGCAACTCCAGACTGTTTTCATAAAGAACAGACAATTTTGGTTCCAATTGAAGAACGATTCATTTTGTTCAACAATTTCATGAATAAAACTGGAAAAGAAATCGCTGCTCATACATTAGAATTTCTGGAAAGCTTCAAATTAAATTTTCAAGCCTGCATTGACCAAGCCTATGACAATGAATCCAACATATCTGGGAAGTACAGTGGAGTATAAGCAGTCCTTCTTGAGCAAAATCCAAACTGTATTCTCTTCAGTTGTGGCAACCACACACTAAATCTTATTGGCATTGATTGCACTGAATCATGCAAGAAAGCAATCACATACTTTGAAACAATCCAGCAGTTGTACAACCTCTTCAGTAGCAGTCCTTGAAAGTGAGAAATTCTGAAGCAGCACAGAATGTGGACAAGACGGTCGGCATGAATTGATGGCGTTAAACCAGTTGCACAGCATTTGGACTCTGAGAGAGAGGCTTTAAGTGAGCTTGAATCTCTTACTCTCACAGCACAGGCTCACACTGAGCTTAAATCAATTCAGAAGTACACGTCTAAATTTGAATGCATTTTAATGTCTGCCATGTGGATGAAGCTGCTAAAAATCATCCACAAAACTATTCTTGTAATTTAGCATGCAATGCTACATTAGATGTTGAGAGGGATAACACTGAATGACTTCTTAAAGATATTCAAAAGATTCATGATCAATGGGACACAATCCAGGACAGGGTATTGACATTTTATCTGAGTTTTCCACCAATTGCAGCCTAACATCTCAATCTAATGAAGAAAGGCACTATCAAGTCAATTTTTTTTGTTAGTATTGACTCCATCAAATCTGGTCTTATACATCAATTTGAGTCACTGCAACAAATTTGTACCCTCTTGGATTCCTTTGGGAGTTCAGAGAACTAAGTGATGAAGATCTATATTCAGCAGCTGAACAGTTTCAACAAAGGCACAACGAAATTTCAAGAGATCTCTGTGATGAGGTCATCTTCCTGAAACTTATACATTCCATTAACTTTATATTGGACTGCAAGCCAAAAGAACTGCTTCAAGAAATATTCGATCTCGACCTGTCGACCATGTTTCCTAATATCAGAACTGCATTACGTATTTTTGTCAGTCTTCCTGCATCAGTGGCTTCAGGTGAATGCACATTCAACATGTTAAAACAAGTAAAGAACTATCATAGTTCTACAATGGGACAAGAGCATTTAAATGGGCTCACAATGCTTAACATTAACAGTAATATTGCACATAAATTAGATTTGTCTTCAATTATAAAGAACTTTGCACACAAAACCAGAAAAGCATACCTAAAATGAAGAGTTTTGCTTGCAGTGGAAACTCACAATTAAAGTTAAATTTTTAAAATACATGCTATTGGTATAATGACTTAATTGTTAATAAATAAATGTCTCAAATGTTTATTTTCATATATTCTTTTGGTTTTAGTATGACCCCGTGGATGAGAAGTGAGATATGTCGGGGGGCCTGAGTCCTCTAAACTCAAAGTGGCCTAAGCCCCTCTCATTCTCTGAGAGGGCCTAAGCAGCACTGCCAAGTTAGTTGATACTTCTTACCTGGAACCTTATCACCTGGAAAGTAGGAGGACATATTGGTGTGGATAGTGATGTAGTTGTTCCATGGGTTCTGAAGCTGAGCTCTTATATGTTTGGGTGTCATGTCAGCACAGGCAGAAAGACTTGCACCGTGAGAGAAGGCAGCAGTGTACGAAACCAAGCACAAGAGCATGCATGCCCATCCAATGATAACTGCCTGGACTTTCATTCCATCTTCCACCTTATGTTATTCAAAGCAACAGGCATTACACTGGTTAAGTTCAAAGTAATAATTTCTAGGAAGATACAATCAGTAAGCATGTTACATTTGTCATCGTTGAAGTCACTGAGACAGAATTCCCTTCCCCAAACACTTTTAATTAGTTTTTAAAAAAATGTTTTCCATGACACACAGAGACCTTCCCGGTAATCTACAAAAAGGAACAATTCAAGAAGCATTTTGGGAAGCAGGGTATGATCCAAAAGAGGATTCTTTTTCTTGTGAAGTTGTCCACAGAGCAGTAGAAAACCATCACTTTCAAGAATCTTGTTACCATTAGTGTCAACAACAAGGATTCTGCATGTTCTTATTCATCCACACACAAGTTGAGGATTTTGTACTAACACTCACCACCCTGCCCAAGTATCTGGGCAGAATACAAGATAAAAACATCTATCCCGAAAATATGTGGAGCTGCTTCATGGAAGCTATTTCATGCCCATTCCGGTGAAAGATTAAACGTAGCAACCAATCTGCTGTCCCTACTCCATTTGCACGCTGATACATGGAGACAACACCGAGTTGGGCTTTGAATCACAGGGCAGAGGGTGGGGAAACTGCACATACTCTGGTTCCAGTATGTACAACAGAACCACCACAGTTCTGCTGAAAGCAACCCCATTAAGGTGTTGGAAATATGGGTTTTACTGACCCTAGAATGTCTATGCTAATTATGTTCATCCACATTTAATATTTAACTATTTTTTCTAAATTTTCCTCTTCTGTCAATGCCACTTGGTGATAGTAAAACATACACGATGCTAAATTTGAAATCAACATGCGAAGCCTAAGATAAATACCTTATTTTTGCTTAATACCAAGATTTCATCTTTAAACTCTAACGGTAATACAAGGTTCACAAAGTTAACTCCTGCTGTCTTGCCAGGAACTTATAGTCTATGGTGACTTGTACTAAATAAATACCTAAAACAGAGAGAGTAGATGTATTCCTGTTTCTTACAATTGTCCTATCTCCATGTTTCAGTGAGCAGGTTTTAAAACTAATAACAGAGAAGGTGTAGACAAATGTTTATCTCCCATGCAAATGTTTACATGAAAGCAGGCTAGCCAAATTGTAATGTACACCTTCAAATAAAGCCTTTTAAATCTGTGGTTTATACAAATTTCGCTTTCCCTAGCTCAGACATCAGAAAGTGAACATGTATAAATCAGAGCAAGTTTGAGACTAAAGGAGTCTCAATTATATCATGTTTCACATCATCTCTGAATTTGCCATTGATTCTGAAAAACTTGCCACTGCACATGAAACACTTTGCTCCCAGCCTCAAGCAGAGAGCAGCTAAGCCGCTTAACCTTGTATAAAGCTCCATCACTCCAATCACTTAAGTGCCATACTGTGTTCATAGCAGCTAGCAGAAGTCCTTCGTAAAATTCCAACCCCATGCTGAAGAGAAAGTTAGTGTGATACCACTGGCTGGCCTCCTCCCTGGATACACTTAAATCAGCAGGTCTCAAACTGTGGAACAGGACCTCAAAGTGGGTTGTGAGACCTTTAATGGGGTCTCCAGGGCCAGCATTACATTTTCTGGGGCCTGAGGCAGCAGAGCTCAGACTCTATCCCTTTACTGCCCCTCCTTCACTTCCAGAGTCATGTAGTAATTTTTGTTGTCGGAATGGAGTTGCCAAGCAATGAAGTTTGAGAACCACTGGCTTACATCATCCTTGCAAGAGATGAATTCTCCCCGGGCCTCAAAAAATACTTCTGAACTACACATTTTTGCTTTTGAAATTCACCAGATTGCACTTCCTGCTTTTAAACCCTTGGTTGTTTGTTCCCAGTGTCTTACTTTTATAAGCTCCCCTCACTATCAGATAGGGGGGCATTAGTCCCCAGTATCCTTTTAGCTCTGTTCCCGGCCACTGATAGACACTTACCTTGGGACACATTCCTTCAGGCTCACTGTAACGGTTTCCCCCTCAGCCTGCCAGAGACACATCCTTTAAGGCAAGTTCTTCACTTCATCCTCTAATGGAAAGTGCACCAGCTGTTACTCTAACACAGACAGGAACTCTCTGCCAGTGCCCAAATCAGCTTTAATCGTATTAGTTTTCCTCCTCATCTCCCACCAACTCACTTGTGCTATTAATTCATTTTATCATCAAGTCATCTCAGGGATGAAAGTAAAAACAAAGCAAGGAAAGGAAAAAAAAAACCCTATGTTCTGAACAGGATCACCCTAAAACTCCTTTACTGGTGCTTGGCAGGATGGGGCCCTTGTTCTTTTTTTTTAAACTAGCAAGGTAAAGATTTGCAAAACAAAGACATCTGCTTCCTTCAGTCTTTAAGGATACAGGAGCTGAATTTTCTCTCACATTTACATGGAAGCAAAAGTAGTATGTTGCTAGAAATAAGCAGAGTAATTCTCAAAACACCCTTATTAGAGTAACCATAAGCAGCTAACTTAAATGTACCAGAGCCAAAAGGTACAAGTGGTTAAGTTGGTCACTCAGTTGATAAGGCTGGGGGAGGGGAAGGGGAAGGAAGCATCAGTAATGGCTCTCATTGGCATAGTTAAAACTATAAATGGTCTCATATTTAATATTTCTAACTTTACATACAAGAATAATACATGCACCAAAATAGGATATACCGATCCAGCAGACTGTAAATTAAAATTGATAGGTTACATGGGAGGTATTTTGTCCAAAGTGTCTTCAAGTTATGCATATTTATATTCATAAGCCAATTTCATAAAGCATTGGGGGGGTGGGAGGAATTATCACACTGTGAAGGACGGAATAAAGCAAGTTTTTCCAAAAACCCCTTGAGAAGGATTAAAGAGTCCCTAGTCTATAAGAGCTTTATGGTGACGTGCAAGGTGGATTCACACTCGTTAACAAGCTGTTCTGGGGACTCTCCACTATGTAGGCGCAGTGGCCACTACAGATCACGCCCAACTGCCTTAACTCACTTTTAGCAAGATAAAAAATGTGAACTCACCAGAAGTGCCCTCCCCGGGATCAGTGCCCAACTCTGAGACATTCTGGGAGGAGGGGATTGTCTCCAAGGTTATAAATAGTTCTTGGCTCTCAGTGACCTTGGTTGTCCCGC